AGGTAAAGAGAATACAGGTAATACAGCTGATGACACTGTTAGCATAGCCACGGTGGGAAACTACAGAGGCAAACATTGCATCAGTTCACCAGTTAGACCTAATTACACAAGAAATAGAAAAAGATAACAGAGAAAATAATTCAACTGATAAACAGTTAACCATAAAAAACAGAGCCAGCATACGGTGGTGGAACTGTCACATGTAGTCATCTTTTTCTAGTGTGTCACTTGAAAAATTTGATGCAAAGCATTATCAACTGTATGTTGTCCCACATGTTTACATCTCCTGCGGCAGTACAATCATATTGAAATATCAATAGTAAACCATTAAAGATTAAATGTACCAAATATGGCAGCTGTATCTGTATTACACCACCATCTTTCTCAGGTGCATGCTTGAAGAAAATGGCTCTGACCACCCACATAGAAATTTCATATGAATTTAAGACAACTTATCATTTCAGTTCCTTATTAAGTAGAAAACATTATCAACTTCTTTAGAGTTTTACAAACTCAAAACAAAAATTCAGTCACAATCCCAGTGGATTTAAATGTGTTTATTAACTGTAGGATCTGATTGTGTTGTTGGCAGATAACTGATACTGTAGATCAGATATGCAATCCACAGAATTTTAGACTGATCTAGATTAAACCCGTTTTGAGGCCCTTCCTGCAGTGTCAACTCACTTTATTTTCTGTAAAATGAGCTTACAGAATTCCAAGAGTGCCCTCTTTTGGTCCATAAATGAAATATTCCTTTGCTGAACGTGTTGGAATGCGACACTCCCTGGACTGTATGAGTCACTGATGCTTGATTGCATAATGTTGATAGATAAAGCCCTTCCAATGAATTCCGATTCCCGCAGCCATAAATAGAGTAGATAAATAGAGGCTTTGAAGTTTCAGATTTTGAAAATACTGCTGCATCTTGCAGCATATTTGACTGATTTTGGTAAAAGTGAGAAATTGCTGTGTGGGTCTGATTATGCAGCAACCAAGCAACTTACCTTTTAAACCAGAAAGCTGAACATGCTGGGAGTATTAAATTAATAGTTCGGCAAAAAATGTAAATATTCCTTTTACCCCATATATTCAATCATCCAAGATGTTTGGTATCCAAAGTTTGCTTCTTTACTTATGCATTGGAGCTTCAAGGCTAATGTATACACTTCATAGAGACCTATATAGAACTTTTTGAAAATATGGCACCAAAAAGGGTCTGTCTATTGTCACTAGCTTGACCCTTTTTGGTGCGATATAGAACCATTTTCAAAAAGCCATATACAACAAATTCTCCATCAATCTGAAGAACTATTTCACCATGCAAAGAACCATTTAAGCATGAAACTCATGAACTCATGGTACTAAATAGTGCCTTTACGAAAGAGCCCTAGAATAACCAACCAAGAGTGTAGTTAACAAATAATGGAAGTTTATGCACATTAGTATTGTGCAAACTGTAGTATTTACACTGTATTTCTAAAAGTATTCAAGCAGTCCTTCTAATTAGTGAATTTGGCTGCTTTAAGGTGCACCTTCCATAGAAAAGCATTGCCAATGCTTTGGCACTCTATAGCAGCTGCACATGGGCCTAAGGTCACCATGTCCGATGCCAAGCGTCGGCTAAATGGGTATAAAGCCCTCCAGCATTGGGCAGTGGAGCAGTGGATCTGCATACTCTGGAGTGATGGAGCTCCATCCAATTCTTTTGGGATGAGGTGGAGTGGCCTTTGTGATCCAGAACATTAGTATCTGACCTCTCGTGGCTGAATGCAATCAGCACAATGTTCCAACACTAAAAGCCTGTCTAGAGAAGTAGAGGCTGTTACTACAGCAAAGGGGAGGCAAACTCCTTATTTATACCCTTGAGTGATGAACAGGTGTCTACAAACTTTTGGACATGTGCATCAAGTTGTGCAGAGCTGTAATCTCAAACAGACTTGTGTATGTGATTTCTGACACATACATCTAAAAAGTGGACAAAAGTATGAAAGATTCAGGCTTCAGGATGCTAATAGTGCTCTTTCATCCATTTTTATGCACCAAACAAGTTTTGGCTGATTGACTACATTTGAGGTAGGTAGAAGATTTTCACTTTCAGAAGCAGCTCCTGTTCTAAACTAGACAGCGCAGATGCATTTCATGATCACAGCGCAATTAATGCATCATTGCTTTATGAGTTAAAATGATCACAGGCCATTAACTGAGAGTGAGTACATATATATTATATTATAATATCATTTTTGTTTTTGTTTTTTGCAGGACACTGCTGTTGCTAGTGCTTGGCAAGTGGCCAAATATACTGCCCTCCTCCAAAGCTATGGGTATTTTCAGCTTCTGATATAAAACGAGAACCCATTTATTTATTGTTTCTTTACTGATGTTTTTAACATCATTAAAATCAGATCACAGTTAATCCTGATATATTTACTCAGTGGATGTTTTACAGTCTAGATACTAAGAGGAATATAAATGTGGTGAAAGCTGACTTATTTATTGCAAGTGCAGTGAGAGAAGAACAATGGGCCAAAAGCCTGTGTACTGAAGTGGTACCGACCCGTAAATCTGCTCAGTACTCAGGAGTTCTCAGGGTGTAACAAAGTCTGGGTTTTTAAGAGCAGCACCAGTACAGCACCTTAAACACAAATATCCTGTATTTTATGTCTGTGTTGAAAACAGTGTATAAAAAACAGAGGTTAAATTTCTCTGTCAGCCGTTTCAAAGTAATTTTAAAAACAATAATCTCTCTCTATTCTCATAAAAATGTAGTGTAATAGATAGTCAGCACACGCCCACAGCGCTGGGTTCCAAAACCTGTGGTGCGCATCGTAACAATAAATGTGTCTCGAAAGCCCAATAAAACTCGCCTTTCAAAACTTCTCACAGTTCATAAACTACTGCAGAAAAAAGATGTGTTCGCTTGTTGAGCTGCTACAATTTACACATTCTGAAAGATTTTCACAGAGATGACTTGCACCATACTGAGAAGAGATAACAACACATCATATCATATTACCGTATCATAACCAGCATTAGCTTGTGGCTAAAGCACTAGATCAGCACAACTCTGGGTTCAAATGTTGTACGTTTATGAGCTTGAGTGTTCTAAAGAAAGTGAAAATGGAAACATTAATATATTAAAGATGAATAGTACAGATTTTTCAAATTTCCTGCATAATTCAGTCTGAGTTGTAAACAAACTCAGTAAGAGTGGATAGGTGTGAAATGGTGTGTTTTAGAGAAACATGCCAACACAGATTCCTTACAGTGGTGGTGATGGGAACCAGGAGTTGCAGTGTCTACAACACAAATCTAGCCATTTTATTTACAATCCAAAATGACCAGTGAACCTACACTGTAAATGGTTCATCAGTACAACTTAAAAAATTAGGTCAGATGGTAACAAGCAATTGAACCAGTTTTATTTGATTAAAAAAACACTTTAACTGAAAGAACTAAAGTACTTTTTAGGTTGAAATGCAAACCATTTTTACAGTGTAGGTTCACCAGCCATTTTGAATAGTAAGTAAAATGGCTATATTGGTGTTGCAGTGTGTAAACATGGTGAAATAGTGGTAAATCTGAAAAAATATGTTTCTATTATACTATTATATGTTATATTATATTGTATACTACTATACTTCCAACGCCCTGCAGGTACCCCTCTGATATGAATGGATTTCAAAAATGTATTGTTGGCAAAAAAATGTAAAAATATCATACGTCTCAGGCATCAGGCAGCATATTCATAACTGTTTGTAATATCTTTCTGTGAAGGAGCTTTTAGTGACATTAACTCTTCAGGCGTCTGGTTCCTATCACCACCACTGTATGTATGAGGTAACCTGTATGAGGTACGTTTCTCTAGAATGGCGCATTTCACAACAAACCACACTGAAATGACTTAGTTTACATGCTAATGATATTATGAATTATGCAAAATTTAATACTTCTTTAATGTAAGGGACATTTTTAAACCAGTCTTTATTTTTGCTGTATTGAGAAATAGATTGAGCTGATCTATTTTTATCATATCATATCATCCAAAACAAAATGTAAGTTTTGTGTATCATTTCAATACTTTGTAATAATAATAATAATAATAATAATGATAATATATATATATATATATATATATATATATATAAATAATCATCATCATCCTCTAATAAATAAAATCACATTTCTTATCAAAATAATTTCATATTCATAATATTATGGTTTATAATAATAATGCTAATAATAGTAAGAAGAAGAAGTTGTAATAGTATTATGGCACACATTGAAGATATAAAGCATACTAAGAATAAACTGCAAAACATCAGATAAAATGAATTAAAAACTATGAAAAAACTAAATATATGTAATAAGCTAAATAGAGTGTTTCCCCACTGTTAGCTGAGCCTGATCATGAGCATATTGAACCTAAAGCTTATTGTTGCTATCAGGACAAAACTTTGTATAAACTTTGTACACATACATGTTTTTACAGTGTTAGAAAATCAACAAATCATTATTTTACCAGGGGTGTTCAGACTTCTATATACTCACTGGCCACTTTATTAGAATCACACAGGTTGGGAATCCCCTTGCCTTTTTAGAGTTAGAGACTGCCAGCTATCTGTTGGCTTTTACTATCTATGTTATCATCATCTAACCCTTCATCGGTGGTAGTTCTGACCACAGAGCCACTCAGTTAGCTATTTTTGACTCACTCGCAAACGAGCAGTGCCACTGATGAGCAGTCACGCTCAAACGAGCAGTGACACTGAAACATCGCTGTAAATGTTACACTCCATGTCAGTGTCGCTGCTGTGCTGAGAATGGTACACCACCGTAATAATCTGGCCCACCACCATAATATCTGGTGTACAGCAGTTCTGTGGTCAGAAACTGAGCAACTTCATGACCAAATGCTGCATGATAATAAATGCAATGTGTAATTCTAAAGCTTTATAGTGGATATTTAAAGTAAGTGGAGCTCTTAAAGTGGCCAGAGAGTGGAAGTGCAAGGTAGAAGCATTTTGTAGCTGTCAGGACAAAACTATATCTGCATTTTTACTATATAGCATTTTTGTGTGATAGTTTTATGATGAACGGACCAATCGAAATGCTATATCCAGCTCAGAGTTGATACAGTAGGCCTCACTGCGCTAGTTTCACTTCCTCTTAGTCCATCCCACACTGTGTTTTCCTCCTGGGCTGTCAGAACTGCCTAACAGTGCTCTGAGAGAAGACCAGTGACATCACACAGAGTCCAGCTACGGCGGCTTCTTTACGCTCCAACAACTGAATTGTGGCCATCAAAATGAGGAATAAACCTGAACTGCTGTTCCTGCTGAGTCTTACGCTGCACTGTGAGTGTCTGTTTCAACATCCTCTCTTTCTCCAATATTCCTTTTATTATATATATCTGCTGTAAGATTTAGATCATTACATAACGTATTGTTGTTCTTCACTTACTGTGTACAGTCGTAAGCAAAAGTTTGGGCGCCCCTGGTCAAACGACGTTTTGTTGATCTTGTTGAAGTGAAAATAAGTTTATACATCCTCTGCACATTTAAATGCACAGTTACTGTTTGTTTGCTGAATTTGACAAATTGGGAAAAAATAAAGTATAAAATGTGTCCCGTGCAAAACCTATGGCACATTTTCTGTTTTATGTTATAGTCTTTCCAATATGTTAAACTCAGCAAATTAGAATGTCTAAAAATGAGAAACTGTGCGCTACAATTTGCTCAAAAATACCAGATTATAGTTTACCATTACACCATATATAACACAAATTTTTACAGTGAAATACTGTCATCATTTTATTGTGAAATCAACTAATCTCAGCTTTTTTTCTGTAATAACGCAGTTATTTGCTTTTTATAAATATTTTAAAGTGCTGGAAATATTAACAACAAATTTAATTGTTTATTTGTGTTGCCAGATGTAAGTTTGTGGTCATGCTTGTGCAAATTATAAGCAAAGTTTACTGTATTTAATCACAGATTATTACTGTCATTTTACAGCGGTCTACGGCTATATCACAGTAATCTTGGTCCAGGTGCCTGTGGTCACAGTATACATTTGCTATTTTACTGTTATTTACTGTTTGTATGGTACAGTAAATGACTGTGAAAGTAATGTAAGTAATTGCCAGTAATTTACAGTAATTTTACCCATTTTTTACAGTGTTAGAAAAGCAACAAACCATACATTTACTGGGGTGTTCAAATCTTTGTATACAGCTGTTTATATACTCACTGGCCACTTTATTTGAAACACACGTGTTGTAGCTCCCCTTGCTGGTTTACAGTTAGAGACTGCTGCCTATCATGTACTATCTATGTTAGCCATCATCTAACTCTTCATCAGTGGTAGTCTCTTGGACCACAGAGCCACTTTTGGTTAGCTATTTATTGCTCTCAGTCGAGCACTGACACTGCTGTAAATGTCACACTCCGTGTCAGTTTCCCTGCAAAATTTTGACACACAGAAACATTTTAAATCTGCCTTAAAAAACTTTTTGGTCATTGTTTCACATGTGTACCGCATCTAACTGAACAGGACTAATTATGCTATGTTTGTAATAAAATATGAAGTTGGTCAGTGTTCTTTAAGCAAAGATGATGTCCACAATATGCTCAGAAAAGTGTACTGTTGACCAACATCTACATTACTGTGTGTGTCCTTCTAGGCTTTTTCTGGCAAACGTCCACAAGTGTGTCAGTGAAGCAGGGAAGAAATGTCACTCTGACTTGCCCTCTGAAGACCAGCGTCAGCATAGGCATAGTGAGCTGGTATAAGCAGAATCCTGGTGAAGGCCCGAACATGCTGCTGAGCTACAATGTCACCATGCCCTGGCCTGTTCGCTACGCTGAAGGCCTTAACTCACACAGATATGTGGTGCTGGCCAGAGACGGGTCCAAAGCACGTCATCGCTTACGCATCATCACCACTGAGGAAAAGGACACAGCCATGTATTACTGCAGCTATTCAGAAAAGATGAACGAAACACAAAAGATGCCTTAGCTACAGCAGGAGTTGAGGAAAATGTAATAAGACAGGATACGGCCAATATAGGCTGGACTGCCTGGAGTGGACTCTCTATCATGCCACCAGACAGATCAAAAAAACAAATACTGTTATCAGAAACCATTAAAGTTCTTTTACACACACACACACACACACACACATATATATATGTTTTTCAAATAAATAAACCTGTGTGTGTATGTATGTGTGTTTGTGGGACCATGTAGATCTTTGTAGAACCATTTTTCCCTTGAATGATGAGGATTCTATACAGGGTTAATGTTGTGAGGGCATTAAGTTGACATTGTTTTACTTTGATTTTCAATAAACATGTTCACCAGACAAAAGAATTAGCTGCCTGCATTTATTTTCTAATACTTAGTTATGCATACCCTTGCCTTAATAATGAATTTACTTGTCTGATCGGACATGAAAATACACAAGGTAAACACAGCAAACTGGCTAACAAATTATTTCACAAAAGAAAAACGAATGTGTTCTGACAGGAGTGAAAACTTTAAGAAAGATCATGCTAACACATATCTTAAATATGCAGGTTTCCCTGCAGAGTAGCTTACCAAGGCACATGCATAGAGGTTTCAAACACTGAAAAAGTTTATATCTTTATTAGACCAGGGGCCTTTGCTTCAGTAGTCTGAGCTAGTCACAAGCAAATCAGAAATTTTTTGAAACCTCCACAACCTTTTCAGGTAGAACTATGAAACAAGTCAATCTGAGGGCTATGGCCAAAAGTATGTGGACACTTGACCATGACGCCATCATCTGCGCTTGTTGGACATCCTATTCCAAAAATAAAGAGCATTAATGTGGAGTTGCCCACTTTTGTGGCTATAGCAGCCTTCACTCTTCTGGGAAGGCTTTCCACAAGATTTTGGAGAGTGTCTGTAGGAATTTGTGCCCATTCAGTCAAACGAGCATTTGTGAGGACAGGAACTGACGCTGGATGAGAACACCTGGCTCGCAATCGACATCCAATTCTGATAAGCTTATGCAATTGATAAACTTATGCAATACAGCAATCATTTATAAAAGTTGTTATTGATCTTTTTTTGTGGACAAGTGATTTTTACCAAATTCTGTCCACTCAACAGCCCTCTGGGCAACCATGCAACAAAGACCAGCCTCCTATCTCTTTGAATGGGAAGAGTCCTAAAAACTTCAAGCTGATGACCAACTTATGATATTCAATATTTAAAATCACTCGTAAAATCCGACAAAAATCTTAGAAATGGTTTGGAGCATTTGGCTGAATAACACACAAAATTATGTTTTTGCCAGGTTGTTCTGGTTACTATGCTGGTTTCACCAGCAAGCTGATCGGCTCTTTATATTGAAGGGCAGGACTTTCCCCACAAAGAGACACCATGTTGAGCATTCCCATTAATTTTTCAACCAGTGACCTGTCTTCTTCTTTATAAAGTCTCTGTTTTGGCTTTCGGACAAGTAAAATGTGGCTTTACTTGTCCATAAGACAGGTTCCCAAAAGAGCTCAATGTTTTCTGTTGTAAACTGAATGAAGTAAAATTACTGAGACAGGAGAAAATATGGCATTGGCATGTGTGCGCTTCTGCTAGTCACCCTGTAAAGCTTGAAATAACAATTTAAAAGTCAAAGATGCTGAGTCAGATTTCACAGGACTTTTTAGACCATGTCATACGTCTTTATGTATTAACATCACTCAGACAGACTAAAATGAGAAGCACAACTGATGTTACAAAATATTCTTCCATCATTGCATGCAATTACACATTTCCACCACAGAGGTCTCCAAATCCCCAAAACCTGTATAGCTTTAAGACTATGTACTGGAGAAGAAATGATGCATACAAACCAATCTATTTTATATGGGGAGCTTATATAGACTATGTGTCCAAAAGTTTGTAGACATCTACTCAACCAATATTTCTTCTGAAATAAAGGATATTAACAAAGATGTGTCCGTTCTTTGCTGCCTCTACTCTTCCATGAAGGCTTTACACGGGATGCTGTAACACTGCTGTGAGGATTTGATTGCATTCAGCCACAAGAGAATTAGAGAGATCAGCTATTGATGTTGGATGATTAGCTCTGGATCACAAACGGCACCCCATCTCATCCCAATTGGATGGAGAGCCGTCACTCCAGAGAATGCAGTTCCATTGCTACACAGCTCAACCCGTCAAGCCGACACTTATCATTAGGTATGGTGACCTTAGGCTCATCTTCAAGTGTACGTTCACAAATCAGAAGCATTTATTTTGAAAAAGAAAAACCAGCAGACATTAAATTTCCTTTGATTACTCAGGTTTTGGTCAAATACAGACAGCGATGATCAGCAGTTAAATGAGTGTTTTCCATTTTCCAAACAGAAGTCAATGAAAAACACAAACAGGAATAAAAACTTTAGGACGTATGTGATATTTTGTATACTTTCACCACCAATACAAAATACATCATGTTGTACAATGCGTAATACATCTGTAAAGATTATAATGACCCAGTAAAGGACAATACACTACTGCTTGTACCATCTTATTACTTATTTCAGTTTTCTTTCCTTTTTTCAGAAAATCATTTTACATGATGTTTTGCTATGTTGCTCACAGATTGTCTTTCCAGTAAGCTCTTTGCAGAAGTAGCTGTAGTTTACCAAAGCCATGGCCGCATCTGGCTCGCATACAATGCCAACGGCTCTTTCCTGTTTTTTTTTTTTTACAGCTCCCAACTGAACAACTGTCAGAAAGACTTGTTTTTAACTCATAACTGTAGCACAACTTTGGAAAACATCAAGTTTGTAATGAGATTAAAAACAGTCCATGTGTGCTTAACAAATACCCTACCTAAAATAAAGAGGATCATTTCTAGACTGAATTCCAAATAATATCAAATATGAGTGCTGATATATCAAACATGTCAAAAAAGCATCACATTTATAATGTCTAATACATATTATGTTATAACCAGCTAAAAAACAAAAATACAGACACATATACAGTGGTGTTTAGACATGATGGCCCACATATATGTGGTTGGGTTGGGGGTGGGGATAGGGGGTGGGGGTCATACAGTGTTACATCAACCAAAAACTCTTGGGATCAGTTGACTTTACCAACATCATACACATGTTGTTTGTGCATGAGTGAGAATGAAAGTGAAGGCACTGATCACAGCTTTACTGTTACTGAGGTAAGGAGCATTTTACTGCTAGAAAACTGGACATTGTAATGTACCAAAGTTGTAATGTACCAAAGTTCTGCCTCATGTTCTATCCTTACTGTACCTGTTTCTTCTTTCTTCTGGAAAGTGCTTGTATGGTTTAACCCCTTAAACTGCTTTGTTGTCTTACATATCGCTGTTGTCAGAACAAAACCTTGTATCTCCAAAATGGTATCTTTACAGGAGAAGGAAAAAACCTACATTACTTTTAACATAAGTCAATGGAACCAGACGTTTTTCAAAGCAATTTTGCTCCATTAATTTTGGTCCATTCATTATGAAATTTACACATAATGTAAAGGGCAAAATGTATTTTCAAATGATGTGAAAAACCCGAGATACGAGGTTTTGTTCCAACAGCACCGATATGTTTTCCTACATAACTTACATATTAGTTTCTTTTTATTTACTGCATAATTGATAGTAATTACTGAATAATAAGTCTTAACGTTTAACCCCTTAAAATCCCAGGCTTATTACATACTAAGTCTTATTATTCAGTAACTACAGGGACTTTAATGCAAACTGTTTGAGCTATTCTTAGGTCATAGAAGTGTGTAATAAAACTTTGGGCCTGCTGGCATGCCCTGGCCTGTTAAGGGTTAATAAATGAATGAGAAAGGAGTTCAAGAGCTCTAAAACTGTAGAAGGTCTGACACCATCACATACTACAGTTTCTGACAGACTGCATTCCAAATTGGATCTTAAAGACGTCCAGTGCCGGCTCGGTGGACGTTCCTCCAGCAAAACATAAGAAAAATGAAGAAGCGCTTTCCTGCTTTTCTGCTTCAGAGATTTGGAATTCCTCTCCTACTCACTTCCATTCAGGCTCCTTCTGTTGACAGTTTGAAAACAACTCAAAACGCATTTATTCACTTTAACCTTCAAGCAGTTGCCTTTTTTCTTTTGCATTGTTCTTTCCTTTTTGTTTGCTCCATTCGCAAACTTATTGTGAAGCACCTTGAGCTGTGTGAGCTTCCTAGACTGAAGAAAACAAAAACAGTGTCTTGATTTTACTGTATTCAAATCTGTATGTCATGAATAAAAAGAAACAAATCAACATAATTATTGCCAAAAGTAATAAACTGCAAGACAAATATTGTTTATGTATTATATTCTATTCATGTGCAAATGATGTGCTTATTTGAATCGCCATTAATTTTCCAGCATGAATACAAAAGTTGCTAAACAAATGAAGTTTATTATCATTATCTGGTAAAAAATAAGAACCTGTGTTTGAACAGCTTAAGCTGCGCACAGCCAGACGAGAAGATGATTTCCTTTAGTCGGGGTGTTCAACTTATAGTTAAAGGTAAGAAATGTTTTATTTATTCCTTTTATTGGTTGACTTTATTAGAGTTTTTATGGAAATGGTGGATGGTTGATTTTGTGTGTTTTGTCTAGTTTTGTTTAGTTGTTTCGTCACACATATTTTGATATATTGAGGCATCATATTAAGGTCTTGGAGGACCCCTAGTGGTGTTTTTTGGTGTATAGTTTTTCTGTGGATAGAGTTCTATCATCTCTAGCATAAAGCTAATTTCTGTAAGCACCCTGATGGGACTTCCTGTGTTATGTTAGTAGCGAGCTAGCATTTATTCCCAGTTTAATTTGTGTACTGCCCTTATCAAACCCGATGACACTTTATACTGGTAACAAAATGCACAATCTACAATATACGAAACAACCTATAACACACAGTTTCCCAGCTGGCAGGGGGGAGAACTCCTCAGATCAGGTATAGTTATGTGGCAGAGACACCCTGGCCACAACTGACCATAGACTAGTAAAATCATGTCACATAAAGATTTCCTTCCAAATATCTTGTTTCACATTGAGGAAGAAAACTGTGCTTTGTGCCTGTCTCTGAATATTATTGGAGGAGCCTGTTAGCCTTTTATCTATCTGCTGAGCTGGTCAGCCTGCTCTAGCAAGGACAGAATGTAGTCCATTTAGCCCACAAGGAGCCTTTAAACAGCAACCAGAGTATCCCATTACCTTAGAAAAAGCTCTTTTAGGAGATTAGGTGTTTAAAAATACTCGCATGTGACTGGGAAGCAATTCAGAAACAGAACACAGGAAGGGGGTGTTACCATGATTGACAGGTGTTATGGGGTGTTATCTACAATATCTTATCCATCAACCAATGTCAATCAGCTGGGGATGCTCACATGAAGACTGTAAACCATAAAGACTGCAGAAATAAAGCTTCCTAAATGGTTCTTGGGTTGAATGTACGGTTCTATGAGAAACCTTCAATAGGTGTGGAACCTGTACTTTTTGTGGAGGTTCTTTAAACATCTTCACACTCACATATACATTATCCATCCACTGAAAGATCATTTAGGGAACCAAAAGTGTTTTTTCTGTGACCTCGCTCCAAAGAACCTTAATTTGCAAAAGTATTTATTGATTTAGATGGGTAATTTTTAAAGAATATTTACATAATATTTAAATTTAATATAATAATGTACATTTCAGTCAATAAACAAGCTTGAGAAAAACCTCCATTCTGGCAAAGATATTACAGAAACAAAGGTCTAAAAACATACAACACGTTTTCCATCATATAGTTTTGAGATATGACATATTTAACCATGCAAAGAATCGTTTATGCATTCAAGGGTTTTCTTGAGTGTTGTCTTTGAGTGTTCATGGTTGCCATTGCTAAAGAACCCTTGAAGAACTACTTTTTAAGTGTAATAAGTTCCCTAGAACAACCAAATGCAGAAAGTTTAAGCTTATTATAAGGTTGAAACTACTTGTGTACCCTAAACTGCCAGCAATCAATGAATAATCATCAATTATCTGTATCTTCCAGCCATTAAAATTAGGACTGTGGCTCCTAAAGTGCTGATTTTGGCTCCTGTTGGACTCCAAACACCATCTGAAAGAGCCATACTTACCTGCGTCATCAGAGGACTACAAAGCAATCAAATGAGCATCACATGGAAGATTAATAACACGGCTGTGTCACAGAAACACAGCAGTGGTCAAGTGTTCAAACAGCCTGATGGAACTTTCACCGCTTTAGGATTCTACTCTGTACCACTTCATGAATGGAAGAGTGATGACGTGTACAGGTGTGAGGTGAAGCAAGAAGGGGTGATCTACTATGAAGAAGTGTGGCACTCTCTCTGTGACCAGTATGTCAGCTAGTCACTCCTTTTGTGATTATTTCTGGACATTTCATCTATGCATCAGATTAATGCACTGAGAATTGTATGTTCACTGTATGTTCATACTCACTATATATTCACTGTAGGTTCTTATTAACTGTATATGTGTGTGAGGACACCTTGCTTTGTTATAAAACTATTTTTTGCTGTTACTTTTCAATTAAGTGCACATAAAGCAGCTGTTTAGTCATTCTTTGGTATATTTTGCAACACTGAGCATCATGTTCATTCGACTGTCTTTCTTCATTGTCTTTCAAATTCCATTTGAAAGCCTTTGTATTGGTATTAAATAAACAGCCACATAAACTGGAGCAACATTGGCCTAACTGGAAGGAAATCATGGACTGTAGAGGTACATGTTAAACATTTTGGCCCAAAGTGGTTTAAACAGCTGAAAGGTTTGAGTGCTGACATCACAACAAAGGAGATAAATTGTATAGGGTGTGGTGTTATTATAAGGAAGCACTGTCATAAATATGGTCATAAAGATTATGTGATACTGCGTTCATCAAAACAAACCTGACTATTCATTAAAATCCCTTTAGACACACTCAGAGTTATAGGCTTAATGATTAATGTTCTAAACAAAATGTTTCATCATTAAACCAGGGGAAAATGACAATTACATGGGGACAAATCCTAAAGATGGAAATCAACACTGAGCTATCAGCCCTGGCCTAAAGGGAAAATGAGCCCCGAAATATTAATAATCACTTGAAAATACATAATAAAAATAACAATTCCTGTAAATGAATAACAGGAATATGAAGTAAACTAACTACAGCTTATAATGAAGTTCAGCATCATAATTTTCTGGCTATAAATATGACTAATAATTCTTCTATCAATAGCTTTCACAAAAAATTCACTTATTTAAAGTTACAAAATTCTAAACGTTATTTTGGATCTAATCGTCTGCTTCAGTTCACTGCTTCTCCCATAATCCCACTGCTATCTCATGAACTTCTGTTACAACCCAACCCTGAATGTGAACACTGTGGAGGCTTTGCACTCTCCCCAGCACGGAGGTGGGTGAAGTATGTGCGGGAGGTACTGGGGCCCAACAATTTCCAATAAAATCTTTTTTGGGCACCTCATATAGATACTGACACAATTGTACATTAATTACTCATAGAAAGATCCAATTTTCTTAACAACATACCTCATCATTTACCTTCCATCAATACCTAATACTGCTAGTGAGGGAGCCTGCATTCATTGAGATATAACTATAGCAAGTAAACAAATAAATTACTGTCTTCACTGCCTACCGTCTTAATTTTGTTGTTCAATTTCTTTTTAATTATAGAGGGGGCCTTGCATTGGGGCCTAGTTGTGTCACTGCTCCCCAGCCACCATTTCACAAGCCTTTACATGTCTTTGAAAAACTGAAGTAAGAGATATCTAGTAGTGAGATGAAAAACGTGTACACAAAGAGAACTAACCGAATACTTGTTTGGCTGTTGTGTCTGCTGAACTGTGAGGAAGTTGAATGTGTCTGAGACTAAGGCCCAATCCCATTTCACCCCTTGCCCCTACCACTTAGCCCTTAGCCCTCTGTTTTGCGCGTTCACGTCTAGGGGTAGGGTGTCCCAATTTTTGTTGAGATAGAAGGGTAGCGTGAAGTGTTAGGGCTACGTGGCCGTCCAAACTGAGGTTTTTCAGAGACACACTCCAAACAGAGTGTTATGAGAAAATAAGAAAAACCAGCAAGATGGCTGCACGAGCGACCAAAGAAACCCACAAATGTGAGTATTTTTTCCGTTAAAAAATTACGATAACCATTGTATTGTCTTAGTTTAGTGTTGTTTCAATATATTATGGTCGTTTTCTTCGTAACAAGCATAAAAAATAACGCTAATAGCATGCTAATGTCTCGGTAGCTAGCTAGCTAACTTTCCCGTTCCACCTTAAATAGTCCAGCAGTACTGACGCCTGATGCACCAGAATGTAACCGCTACACCATTTAAGGTGGAACAGGAAAAAGCGAACAAGCTGGTATCACCAAAGAATTAGCGGTGGGCGATAGTAAATAATTTTCTTAAACCCCTCTTTGAAAGCATATGATGCCCTTAATGTAACTAAAGCTCAGCAGTGAGGCTGCTGAACATTTCCCTTTTCTGTCATCACTGAAGATGGTTTGTTTGTTTTTTTAATTTGAGGGTTGTCCAATTTTTTAGGGCAACATTTCAACCTCAGTTCCAAGGGGTTAGGGTGACACTCAAAAAACAAGGGGTAGGGGTGAAAAGAAGAAATGGGATTGGGCCTAAATCTCAAATGGCTCCCTACTCCCTATATAGTGCACTATGTAGGGCTTAAACTAATGACTCCTGCACCCTAGTGTATAATATGTCTACCAAATAGCCATTTGTCGTTCAGCCACGTGTACACAATTCCCTACTTGACATTCTGTGCTCCTCACTGTTGGGTGAAAGAAGCTGCATTTCATAGGCCCAACTCACATGGTGCACTATTGAGGGATGGATTACAGAGCCATTTGGGATTCAGCAGGTTTGCATTTCTCATGACGTGTGAAGGGCTTCTTTTTTATCCAATCAAACCATTTGTATATAAAGAATGGATTTGGTTCAACGTTGAAACGACCATGTTGAAAAGGTGAATTGTTCGTGACGTTTAGAAGCAGCACTGCAGCGCGATGACTGAGAAGATTAACTTCTCTGAACTTCTCTGAGCTTCACTGTATCATCAGCACACCCCACTGAATTTAGTAAAAATATAAAGTAATTAATCAAGTTTTCAGAAATGTTACAGGGCTGAGGTGGTTCAACCTAACTGAAAAGCGGACAAAACGAATCGATTCAGCTGATTCGCCCGGACGGTCCTGTACCAACACTGAAATAGTGCTAAAAGACATCGACGCTTAACGTGACTTACGTTTTGCCTATAAAAACCAGTCACAATAACTATGAAAACACAAAGACTTTGAAAGATTCATGTCTTTAACTTACTTCCATATGATCGCTGCTATATATCCTGTCAGACTCCTGTCTCCATCTGTGAAAAACACGCGTTAACCTAGGGAACTTATTGTAAAAAGGGATGTATAAATGTGTTAAAACTATTCGTTACAAACCGTAAACTGGAATATTTTGATTAAAATTAAATCTCCAAGTGTTTAAGAAAAAAAGTCATTACTGTCGACAATCGATGCAATTATTGTTTTGTTTTTTTGTCAGAACTCACCTCAGTACATTACGGCCGATACAGTGGAACTCATAACAGCCGCCAGAGGCCGCTGTTGGGTCTAGAGGTATAATTAAAGGGGAATTCCACCGATTTTTCAAATTTCCAGTATAATTCAGTGGTTAATAACGACTGTCATTCAAACTGGTTTGATGTGACATGGTTCATTTGTAGAGTAACGTACAGACACAGATTTTCTATACAGTGGTGGTGATGGGAGTCAGGAGTCTCAATGTCTACAATGCAAATATAGTCATTTTTTTACTAACCAAAACCACCAGTGAATCTGTACGTCTTCTGAGTTTTATGTAATTTTGGCAGACAGTGTGATTAGCCAGTGAATTATGTGAAGCATTAGCTGAATGTAAACACAATCTGTAACAGTTAATAAAGTTTTATAACTTTTAAAGCATTTATAAGTAAACATGAAAACATGTTAACAGGTTGTGTTGTGCAGTTCTGGGTGCAGCTATTTAAGCCCAAGAAAACTTATTTTTGTCCTTTGCTTCTTTTATGATGCTGTGCCAGCATATGAATAGGATATCAAGATGTCTGGGGTTGCAGTGTGTGATATGGCAATTACCCAATCATTAACTCACACCTGTAACTTAATGGGTTCAAATGTCACTAAATATCAAAGACCTGCTTGTTCTAATGTTGCTTCCACAACATCCTGTCATCACACTGTTGATTGAATAAGACATGAGCCCAAGTGCCAAAGAAATAGAATATGACATGAAAGTGTCATCACTTTTGGCTTAGGGTCTAGAACAGTTTAGTGCCAGGAAGAATTTCTGGAGGCTTCTTTACACATATGTGTATATATACTTAATACCAGATGCATTTTACATGATGTAAAAAAACCACAGATATGGGCCAAAATTACTTGGAATAAAATGTCATTACATTAACTTCTGTTAAAACATAAGAATGTTTTTTCACCTGCTGAGAAGTTACCATTTATAGATGCATGGATACATAGACATATGCAGCTCAAAGGTATCACTGTTTTCAATATAATAAAATCAAACTTGTAGATAAATACAACACCTAATATTCTATTCTAATTCTGTAGGCTAGAACAATATAAGTCCTCATCTGCACAAGTTTCAGTTATTTTGTTAAAGGCTGCAATAAATAAACCAATGCAATGCAGAGACCAAAGTCAGAGACCACATTCATTTGTATAATTTCCACTCAAAACAACCATTAAGTAAATATAGTTCATTTTTCAGGAGATACACTATATGAACAAAAGTATAGGGACACCCCTCCTAATTATTGAGTTCAGGTGTTTTGGTCACACCCATTGCTAACAGGTGGATAAAATTAGGCACATAGCCTTGCAGTCTCAACAGACAAACACTGGCAATAGAATGATTTTGTACTGATGAGCTCAGTGAATTTAAACATGACACTGTCACAGGATGCCACCTCTGCCTCAAGTCAGTTTGTGAAAAAACATTTAGAAGTGTCCCGAATGATAAACCGCATCGTAGAAGATTCAGGAATGATTGAGAAAACTGTCTAATGTAAAAAAAAAATGTTATAATGTTATTAATACCTAGTAATAATTAATATGCCTCATGTTTTTAAAGCAGTAATCAAATATCAAGGAGAGTCATTTCAGGGGAAATTACTGTAAAAGGGTACTTATAGTAAATTATCATGCAGATAATCTTAATACGTAATAAAACCTTTGGCTTCTATTATTAAACCTACATTGTGTTATCAGTCAATAAAGATATTAGTCAATAATAGCACATAATACACATTGATAGCCCCATTGCAAAGTCCAGCAGTGTTTGTGTTGCTGTAGATAAAGTATATTATTTCCCAGAAATTGCACACTGGAGAACTTTTGCTCCACACATATACAGTGACCTCCACAAATGTTGGCACCCCTGGTAATCATGAGCAAAATGAGCTGAAAAAATATTCTTAATTACTTAATCTTTTTGATCTTTCATTCAATATATTAATACACATCTAACCTTTATTTAAGGTATAATGAATGAATGGAAGAACTAAA